AACCCAGGGATCAGAGTGGAGAGGACCACGATTGCACTGCCCTTTCCAGAAGAGCCTGGACAGTGATGCAATAGGTGACAAAAATCAGGGTGAGGAGTCAGCGGGGACAATGGATGAGGTGACTTCGCTGAGGTTTTTGCAGCTGAACCATCAAGAAAAGTTTCCCTTTGAACTTGGCGTTAAAAATGCAGTAACCTCTGTCTCTGTGAGCTGCTGTTCCCTTTATGTACCTCATTAATCTTCCCGAATCCCAGGCCACAGCGAGATCTGCATTTGGATTTTTTTTTTTTTTTAAATATATATTTTTTTATCCCTTTTAAAGAGAAATACAATTTAATTGTTCARTCAGATTGGTGGAAAGCAGCCATGTGACACCGTGTGTTCTGTGAACGCTGCACAGTTTCTGTTCCCAACAGCCGAATCCRCGGGGATGATTTTTCAGCGGCAGCAGGGGGAGGGTGACTTGTTAGGCAATCTTTTCTCCTGAAAAGATCTTCAAAGAAACATATGCATGAAAAGAAAGGAATTTACAAAAGTTTGGCTCACCGCTAACTTTTTTGAAATGAGCATTTAATTTAAATAGCCTTAAAAAAAAAGTGTGAAGATCAGAGCGATGCTTTGTCATTAACCCCTTTGATTTGGGCTGAAATGGTGCAGAGCATGAGGCTCACATCATCTCACAAAGGGACCTGCTGCAGGTGATTTAGRGCTGGAATTCTTCTGTTTTATTCCTCTGAAATTGCAGGAGAAAAGCTTTGGCCCTGTGTTTTCCTCTTGAAGTTGGACGCACAAATTCTCTGCCGGCTGTCGTTAAAAAATAAGTGTGGGGAAATTCAGAAATGAAAAATCTCCTTCTGGATGATGGAGCCAGGCTGGGAGAGCTGGGAATGTTCCCCTGGAGAAGGGAAGGATCCAGGGAGAGCTTCCAGAACATTCCAGGGGCTCCAGGAGAGCTGGAGAGGGACTGGGGCCAAGGGCTGCAGGGACAGGACACAGGGAATGGATCAGAGTGGAAAAGGGGAGATTGGGGTGGGATCTGGGGAATTGGGAATTCCTGCCTGGGATGGAATTCCCAGAGAACGCCTCCTATTTATGAGAATATTTATTATAGTATCATATCAGATCATATCTATATAATATAATTTAAAAAATAGATATTATCCGTATTTTTTATATTATATATATAAATATAATATAGATATCATTCTATCTCAATGGCCCAGAAAAGACACTCTCACTTCATCCCTTTTCCCTCTTCTGGTTTAGTTTCCAGAACAGCTTTCTGTTCAGAGTGAARTATTCTGGAATTTTTCTCTCTGATTTGGTTGGCAATTCCAAATTCCCAGTGGTGTTAGATCCACTGGTTTTTATTGAAACCCCACTGGTTTTTATCGAATATTGAAGGTATTAATTTATAT